ACACACACACACACACACACACACACACACACACACACACACACACACACAATGATATTTATAATAAATATAATTACAATTATAATTACATTTACGATCATTGTTATAATTATAATTATTAGGTCAATCAGAAAAAGTTCCGTCCATCTAGCGGCGAGTAGCTCTAGCTAGAACTGTCGATAACTCTAATGTCTAAACTAAGCTTAATTTTTTAGTTTTACCATCTGTCAATAAAATTCAGTATATAAAAGTATACGTTTGCATCAATAACATTGCTTTTTACTGCATCGAAAATGCCGACATTTGAGCCAAATAAGCGTTATTTGCGCGAAGTATTAATCTAACATATTGCTTCAAATGGAAGAAAACTGCAGCTGAAGCTCGTCGAATGCTTGTAGAAGTTTATGGTGATAATGCTCCTTCCAATAAAATATGCAGAGAATGATTTCGACGCTTTAAAAATGGTAATTTTGATGTGGAGGACAAAAAGCGTTCTGAACGGCTAAGAGCATTTGAAGACGAAGAATTGCAGGCATTGGTGGATAAAGACCCATGTCAAACGTAAAAACAACTTGCAGAAACATTAAATTGTGCTCAATCTGTTATTTCTGATCGTTTGAAAGCCTTGGGAAAGGTCTACAAGGAAGGAAAATGGGTACCATATGAACTGAAGCCAAGAGACATTAAAAGACGAAAAACCATCTGCGAAATTCTGTTTGCTAGGCAACAAACAAAGTTTTTCCAAATTATGACGCGATGAAAAGTGGATCTATTTTGATAACCTCAAACGCCGAAAAACCATTTGCGATCCAAGCTAACCATCGACATCGACATGAAAGCGGAATATCCACGGAAAGAAGGTAATGCTCTGTATTTGATGGGATCAGAAGGGTGTAGTGTACCACGAGCTGTTGAAATCTGGTCAAACAATCACAGGGGATCTCTATTGAAAACAAATTATCCGTTTGAGCCAAGCATTTCACGAAAACGACTAGAATATAAAACGAGATAGCATAAAGTGATTTTGTTTCATGACTTTCAACGCTCGACCTCACGTCACAAAACTTGTCAAGAAAACGTTAGAAGCATGGGAAGTGCTACCCCATGCGGCTTATTCATCAGACTGTGCCCCTTCCGACTATCACTTGTTTCAATCGATGGCACACGCACTTGCAGAGGAACACTTCAATTCTTATGAAGACGTCGAAAAATGGGTCTCTGAGTGGATAGCTTCCAAAGATGAGTCATTCTTTCACCGCGGAATTTGTTTACCGCCCGAAAGATGGGAAAAAGTCATCGCTAACGATGGACAATATTTTGATTGAGATACTTTTTTATTTTGTTTTTTAAATAAAATCATACTTTTTGCAAAGAAAAACGGACGAACTTTCCGATTGACCTAATGTATACTTTCTAAAGTCACACTGTATCAAGGACTCGGATCGAAATAAAATTTCGGTCCGATTACGGTCAGAGGCTGTATCCAATTTTCGGTTTCGGTTCCGGTTCCTTTTACTGATAACAGTTTCGGTCTTTTTCGGTTCCAGATCGAAAAAATCCGAAATCTAAACGTTTTCGGTTCTTTTACTGATAACGGTGATCATAACCATTTGGATTTAAGTTTTTTTCGGTTATGATATATGATTATCTATTGTAGAGAAAAGTAATACAACAAGCATAAACTGCATATTTAAGGAAATTTATATTTATTTTAAGACAATATTGAATTGGAGATATGTAAGCACTAAGCAATGTAAGGCCCGTTTCTACCAATGCAGTTTAACTTTAATCACGATTCAATTTAAGGCCTTAGCAGAAGATTGACTTATAATCTTAAGACAGTTTTTGTGCGTTATTAAAGACATGAAACTTAGGCCCAGTTCCACAACACACAGTTAACTCTTAACCGAGGTTCAATTTATTCTTTATTTTTTTTCAATTCTAAAATTGAAAAGAAATGAGGAATAAGTTGAATCACGGTTAAGAGTTAACTATGAATTGTGGAACTGAGTCTTAATCATAAAATACTGTAAAATACTCTTAAGATTATAAGTCAGCCTTTCTACTAAGACCCTTACTCTTCATCTTTTTTTAATTCTTAAAACTAGAAAAAGATGAAGAGTTAGTTGAACCGAGATTAAAGTTAAACTACTACTATTGATTGAAACGGGCATAAGCACTCTAATTCTAAACTAGTGTAAAATAAACAGATCATTTTCTTTGCTGCTGTTTGACTTTTATTATCTTCTGCGATGTCAGTTACGTCGACTACGTCAGCGATTTGTAGCGTCACTAATGGTCATTTACAGCTTTTTGATAATTTTCTATAAAATAACATATTATTCTTATATAAATTATCGTAATCAAGCAAGGAAATAAGAAATTAACACTCCGTGGGCACCCTATAATATTGCTACTTAAAATGTTTTTCTTCTTTAAGACTCTTCTGTAGTCGCTGTGACAGTGGCAACATTGGATCATGACGTCGTAGGTGAGAAATGACACGTTAAGTGTTTCTTGGATAACATGTGTAAATAAAAAGAATTTAGGTAAAACCAAATAATGAGATTGTTTTAAAACATTTGTAAAAATGGGCGAAAACTATCCTCATTTCCCTCTTGACCCTTCTGAGTCAGTAAATAGTGGCAAAAGAAACGTGACATGAAAATAGGCTACGCATGCGCATTGAATAAATTTTGATAAACTTCTCAATCTTCTTGTGCTTTTTACAATTATTTACTGACTATCATGGAAGTTAAGGACAGTCTTCATCCATTTTTACAAGTGTTGCAAGAACCGATCAACTACAGGTGAGCATTCCTCTCTCTTTCGGCTGTAAAAGGGGAACGCATCGTTCTTGTTGTTCACCATGTGACCATATTCATATACCTATTTTAGAATTTAACCTTAGGATAAGAAAGCGTTAGAAATGCGATCTCTTCTTTATTTTCTTTATGTTTCGTTTTTTTTTTGTGACGCTTGTCCATTTATCTATGAACGAAGGTCCTTTAGGATAAGAATAGAAATAAGATTTTCTAAAAACGGAAGGTTTATCTGTTTAACAACTCAATAACTCGAATTTTCGAGAAGCATTTTCCGAAATTTTAAAATAGAGAGCGTTTGAACTAAGTCAGTCCATTGAGTTCTGCGAGACCGGTCTCATCTAAAAACAAAAATTGCAAAGTAAATTTTGTAATAAAGTGAATTTTGTACAAGATCAATAAAGAGTTTTAATTTAAAAAAACATTATTGCGAATTTTACACCATAGACAACGCTCGGCTGTAGGGATATGTATGATTGCTACATCATGGAGATATATACGTTTGGTGGCTGTAGACTGTAGTCGATGATCGTATACATCGAAAAGGTTAAAAAATCCGAACCGAAAGTCCAAAACATTTTCGGTTCGGTTACGGTTTCGATCTATTAATTTGTACAACATTTCAGTTTGGTTATCGGTTTTGGTCCGACAAAAATAATAGTTACAGTTCGGTTATCGGTTTCGGTTTCGGTCCGGGTTTCTGGACTGTATCAATCTAAAGTCTCATAGTATGACTCTAGAAAGTAAAATGTTGAAATCATATATATTTTCTTGTTCTCAGCATTATCCACGTCGTTGATCTTGGGTAACACTGAGAGCAGGAAAATATGATAACCATGCTAGTGTATTCACAGTAATACACTAAAAAGAAAGAAAGAAATGATTGAATATGGCATAGCATTTTTAATTGGTTGCAGTAGCCAATTAAAAATGCTATGCCATATTTTACCGTCTAATTTGCTGCAGCAGCTAATCATTTCTTTCAGTGTACTTAGCACTTCATTTTTTATTATTTTTGGTACATTCAATATATTAACTTAATTAATCGACTGAATTCTTATGAAAGATTGACAAAAGCAAATAAACTGAAAATTATTTGCATTATTATAGACTTCAGTTATACGCAAGTGCACACGCATGCACGCACGCACATAGGATCATATAACCTGCCACGTCGTTGATCCTGAGTAATAATGCTGAGAGCAGGAAAATATATGTGGTTTCAACATTTAACTTTCCGGAGTCACTATGAGTCTTCAGATTTATACAGTGTAACTTTAGAAAAATATATAATTATAATTATGT